TGACAATAATAGGACAAAACCAAACCATATGAAGTCTTGTTCCAATTCCTGAATTGTATTTCCAAGAATAAGGTGATTGAAACCAACCCATATTCTCTGAGGTGTCCAATGTTCACAAAGCCATTTTTTGTTGTTGTGCTAACCTCATTTTAAGTTCATAGAAGTTTTATATTGTTTAAATTGATCTCCCTTGGTTTACTAGGACAGAAACATTCAAGATCATTATTCTGTAGTTTTTCTCTTACTATGGATAGGTTGCATATGCACACTGAGAAGCACAAGGTGATCTGCATGTGCTTCTCTTTGGATCCCGTTGTCAGAAAAGAAGGAGGCTTAGAATGGGGGAGGTAGCAGCATTCTGAGCAGCTACCCAACTATTTCTCCCACTGGTTGCATTGGGGGCAATCTTTCCTATTCCTGTCATGTTTGACTTTGCAGCCTTGTCCTGATTTGGTCCATTCTTAACTCACTTTTCCAATTTCTTCCCTCAATCCAAAGTTAGTCCTATTTGGGCTCAGCTGCAAAATCATCTATAATAGATGTTTGAATTAGCTTTTGAGCATTAACATGCTAATGGATGAGCAGGCAAAGTTCTGAATTTCCATTACAAAGTTTCCTTTTGTATAGCTGTGAGCATTTTAGTAGAGACAGAATACTATGTGAGAATTGGAGGATGAATATAGAAAAATGAAATGGGGGGAAAGGAGAAAAAATGAAGTCGATTTGAATCTAAAGCATTCTCAACATTTTTGAACTCCCTTGTTTAATCATAAAAGGTTTGTGTTGTAAAGAAGGCCAGTACGAAATTTCAAAGAAAGGTTTGCTTTGATTTAGTCTTTCAAATGCTCCTTGAATGAAACTCCACTAAATGTTACTGCAGCAGTGATTCTGCACTGTGTTAACATAGCCATTTTGTTGGCATTCAGTAAATGTCTATACACACATGTGTGCATAGAACAGTGGTTCCCAATCTTTTCTATATCCTGCACCCCTAGAACGCTTCTGATATATTCTCACACTCCTTACAAAAGTTCAAAATAACAGCAACGAATTATGCATATACACTTTAATTTTGAAAACCCAAGTTTTCGCACCACCTGGAATATCTTCTCGTACCCCCAGGGGGAACCTTCTCGTACCCCTGCTTGGGAACCCTTGGCATAGAAGTTATATCTATTAAAGCAAAGAGGAATGGACTGCCTCCATTAATTGGAAGCATTGAGGAAGAGATCCTGGTTCACTATGTTGGGGGGGGGCACTCAGAAGGGCAGAACTGAGCAGATCAAAGAGGTACCACTTCATATAACTCTAACCTAACTCATAGCATTTCGGTTGTTAAAGTGTACGAAACAGATAACAATGTATTTTTCTTTATAATCTGTGTAATAAATTGCAGATTAACTGAGGGTAAGAAGGAAGGTTGGCAGTTTGAGACCCAAGCACCACATGATGGGGTGAGCTCCCGTTCTTGCCTCAGCTTCTGTCAACCTAGCAGTTCAAAAGCATACAAATGCAAGTAGATAAATAGGTACCACTTCAGTGGGAAGGTAACTGCATTCCGTGCATCTCAATGTATGGTCATGCCGGCCACAGGACCACAGAAGCATCTTCAGACAACTCTAGCTCCCTTGGTAGGAAAGGGAGATGAGCAGTACCTCCTAGAGCAGTGATGGTGAACCTTTTAGAGACCGAGTGCCCAAACTGCAACCCAAAACCCACTTATGTATCTTCGGGTGCTGGGTGGGCGTGGCCCATTGGGTGGGCGTGGCTGCGGTGGTAACGGCAGACTGGGTGGGACTAAAAAGTTCAATCAATCAATTTCAACTTTGCGAAATCTTTTTTTTCCTGTGAGAAGTTGAAATTGATTGATTGAATCTTTTTTTTTTTTTTTTTGCACATGGCGGCGGTGGAAGCCTAAAGTGAAAAGGTTTTATAAAACGTAGCTGAAGGCCTAGGACTGGGACGATGGTGCACGTGCCATAGGTTTGCCACCATGGCCCTAGAGTTTGACATGACTGGACAGGAGAAACCTTTTTTTTTTTTTAAAGAAGGTTTAGCTTCTTGAATAAGGTTTTTTAGCAACAACAAAATGATGCTACAATTATTAAAGCTAAGGGAGGATGCTGTTCCTTTGAGACAACAAAGAATTAACCATTCAGTTAAACAGAACTAAAGTGGCACTTGTTCAAATATAGTGCCAGTGTGCCTGTTTTGTAAGTTAAAGACTTTTTTAAAAAATTAAAAGGTAAATGAACAATCGCAGTGGTAAAAAAATAAAGGAAAACATGCTTCATGTAGCCTGTGGGCAAAAACTAGCCTAGTATCCTCTGGCACATTAAAGGTGGAACGGAAGTGCTGGCAGAAGAAGTGGGGAAAAGATAGTGGCTAGAACTCCATGCTCTTTCTAGCCATCATTGGATCAACTGGAAGAAAAGAAGCTATTGATTTGCTGAGGAAGTAGAGTCCAGGATGAAATACTGGGCAATAACCAGCCACAAGAAGAGTCATGGTACCAGGCACTATAGCAAAACAGAGCTGGGGATGTCTAGCAAGTGAGTCTCCTGGAGGGACGTTAGACAGCTTAAGACAGAAAACAGCTTTAAAATATATATAGGGATGCATTTATAACGGAGTGGGAGTGGGTGGAGATTTATCCATTTCATCACTCAAAATATTATAGATGGCCCATATCAGTGATGAGGAAAGTGCTGCTATAAAGCACAGATCTGGCCCTAGTTCTTAGTATTTTGAGGGCACTTTATTCCTGTTCCACACTGTCAGCCTATGAATGTATCTCTGTGTTTCTGAAAATGTGCAAACTGAGACTTTGTGAATCAATCAGCCAAAATGTAAACAGATTCCTCTCCCCCCCTTCACACACACCCCCGGCCAATTTGGAGATAACAGTTTCCAGAAGCTGAGCTGGAGGCTGTCGTAAACAAATATTAGACACAGTTAGTAACAAAATGGTGTTGGCTGTTAAATTTTTAGATTTAATTACAGCTGTCATGTGTATCTAAGCTCACGTGACTCTGCCAGGTGAATCATTGTATGCTGTTATTCCCAGGGCTTCTGGAGTATGGCTGAAAATGTGCTTCTCTGGAGATGCTCAGTACTAGAAAACCCCATTAACACTTTCTTGTCATTTATGTGTTGGGAGAAGAGGATATTATCCTAGTCATCTGAGCCAATCTTGAATCACTTGCCTAATCAGATGTAGAGCCTATGTAGTTTTACTTAGACACATAATTTCAGATAAATGTTTTTTAAACAATGATTTGCTATTTAGTATGATGTGAAAATAGGTAATAGTAAAGAGCTTTTTCTGTTATTTGCATATTTGTCATTTTCATAGGAAGGAGTTTAACACTATTATGAAGCTTCAGAATTAGAGCAACATGAGCTTCCGGAGTTGGTATCTAAAATATTTTTATGGGACAAATATTAATATGAATTTGATTTTTTTAAAATCTGATAAAATAAAGTATTTTTGGCAAAAAAATCCATGTGTTATGATTCATGATAACTAAAGTTATAATGTAATTCAGTTGTATTCTTTTATATTAATTGGTTATCATCAATGTTTTTGAGTTTGTGTTTAGGGTGTAGAATGTTGTTTTAAAGAGAAATGTTGTTGTTACAAATGTTGCTTTAAAGAGAAAAGTGGATATTGGTCAATTTATATGGGGATGCTTTTTCTATTCAGCACCATTGCCACATGGAAATGTATTTCAAAGAATCATAGAACTGGAAGGTTCATTTAAACTTTTGAGTTCATCCAAGGGCAATTCAGGAATCCAAATTAAAGCATCCTAGACAAGTGGCTGTTTAACTTTGTTCAGACAGACCCAATGAAAGCTAGACTGTTAGATTGCTTTTACTGTTAAGCATTTTGCAACTTTCAACTGAACATATCTTAGTGTAGCTTCAATCTATTATTCCATGCCTTGCAATCCTGGAACGAGAAGTAACAAGTCTTGATTTTATTCCTTGGGAATCTTTTCAGATATTTGAAGGGTGACTTCATATTGTCAGTCTCTTTTCTCAAGGCTTAGCATACTGTGTTCAACTCAAAATGACTTGAGGGAGCACCTGTCCAATCTATACCCCTCTAAAACCCTTGTGTCTGTAACCCTTAAGGAACGAAACAATGCATGACAGGGCATCATTTTTTGAACCAAGTTACTGCAAATAGGCTAACTTATAGAATGCATCCAAAATCTGAGACCTATGGCTCCCATGGGATTGTAATGGGCAAATTTGTGATTACTTCAGTGGCAGTTACACTGCCATGCTGCTGTCCAGAGGTTCAGTAGACCAGTCCTTCCCTAGATCGCTGGAGGTTAGGTCCACTATCGCAGCGGTCCCCAACCTTCCTGGCTTGAGTGGAGCTGTGCGCGCACACACCGGCCCACCTCTCATGCCACCCTGGTTTCAAAAAGGCCACAGCCTGATAAGTGGGTTGCAGCCTGGCAGGTGGGGACGCCTGCACTGTCGTGTGTCAGAGTGTGCAACCAAACCAGCAGAAAGTTGCTACTGCTCCCATTGCTTTTTTTTTGCCCTTGGTCATTCTGTGTTCCAGTTAGGTAAGGAAATATCTCTAAAATTACCCAATGGGGTCACAGATTATGTAGCACAATACAAAAACGGAAACCAAAGGCAATTACTAGGGACAAAAATAACCCATAGCATAATACAACTTCTATGCTCCCAACCGAGTATGCTGTTATGTGGTATCCCATATGGTGTGCCCTGTTTGGGCAGATATATCTGATACGAAGGTGCACTTTTTAAAGTTGTTGTTGGTTCTGTGTCACTATAGATTTCTGAAAGAGTGCCCTGACTAACGATTGGCCACATTTTGAAAATGCAAAAATTGTTTGTATCCTTCAGTGCTTCGTTGTATTTACTAATACATATAGTTTGCTCTAGCAGACTTTTTTTCCTCCCTAAATCATTTAACATGAATATGCCATTTCAGCTAATGCTTTCTTTTTAAGGAACGTGAAAAAAAAAAACATGAAAGGATACTAAGCGAAGCGCTTGTTGCTGCTGTAACGTACCTCAATCAGTTTTTACCTCCTGAACATGCTATTGTATACATTCCTTGGGATATGGCCAAATACACAAAGAGGTATGCATGGTTGTGAGTATGTTTATAGAGCATATGAACAAGTCTTGCTTACCCACATATGCAGCCCTTGTCTTTAGCAAAATTTAGTAAGTGCTTATGCTAACTGTAGTACAAATATGTAAATTTTAAAAAAATGTTGTCTAACTTTATATAATGGTATAAGGAAAGGTCTTAGTAGACAAGGGGAAGAACCACAGCCAAGGGAACAGTCAGACAAGAGGCAGCTTAGCCAAAAAAAGGAATGTGGATGTAGTAAACCTCAGAAGGGACCTTCCCTAGTTTCTTGGACTGTAAAGGCAATAGGCAGAAATATGCTTTTAGACTTGCAAGACTTGCTTATAGTAAAGTAGAGTTAGCCTATTTGATCATGTTTCCTGTCTGGATCACCTCATTAACCTGATTCCTTAATATTGCCATAATTTAACAGATGTTAGGGAGTGCAATTGAAAAAAAAAGTTCTTCCAGCTTTGGAACATACAAAAAAACACCAGCAGTGAACTGCTGATCTAACCCTGGCCTCTTTAGTCCAGCAGTTCTTCTTACAATAGCCAATCAACTGGACAAGGAAACCTACTAGTGTCCCAGCAGATGTCCTTCAGATGCAATCCCACTGCCATCAATAGCCCTTGATCCCCAGAACTTGCATCAGTTGAGCCAAGCTGTTTTTGAAACAGCCAAACTGTTAGCCCATATCACACCTACTGGTAGCAGATTCCAAAGCCGAATTATGCATTATGCAAAAAACTATTTCATTCGTCTGTCCTTTTTTCAGGATTCAATTTCAATTTCAGTTTCTGATTTCAGTATTTTGGGAAGGAAATAATAGTGTGTCTTTCTCCATTTTATCCATACTATGCACAATTTTGTACTCCTCAATTGTGTCCCCTCTCATTCGTCTCACCAAAGAAAGCCCCAAATGGAAGCTACTCCAGCCCTTCGATCATCTTAGTTGCCATCCTCTGTGTCTTCTCTAGCTCCACTGTATCCAGAATTGCACACATTGTTCCAAATACAGTCACATCACTGATTTATATAAGGGCATTATGATATTGGCACCTCTATTTTCAATATTGTTTCTTATTATTGGCAATGTGCTATTGATCTTTTTTATGTGGATGCACACTATGTTGATACCTGCATTGAATGGTTTACCCATTCAATGCTTTATAAAAGGTCTGAAAAAAAGCATTTTAAAGGCCTTTAAAAAACTTACGAGATTAGGATCTAAACATAGAAATCTATAAAACCACATCAGTTTTATTTAGAGGAATCCGGATGGTTTTTAACCTCTTATGACTCTTTCCAGACCAGTTTATGACATTTATTTTTACCATCGTTCATTTCATGTATGATAGGACTCTAGGTGAACTTCTGCATTTACACTAACAGTGCTTGTAAATCAGACAATTTTCAACAAAAGGAAAAAAAATACAGTTTTTACTTTTATTCCCACCTAGCAAACTGTGTAATGTCCTTGATCGACTGAATGTGATTGCCGAAAACGTGGTGAAGAAAACTGGTTTCTTTGTAAATCGATCTGATTCCTTCTGCAATGTTTTGCGACCAGATGAAAAGTATGTATTAGAATGGCCAGAGTGCTAGATATCATTTATAATTGCTCTTTAAATACACTTGTAAAAATCTCCATTGTCTAGTACATTAATATCCAGACATGCCTCGAATGCAAAATTATGGTCCATGTGTTTTCATACCAATTAGAGATGACTTGTAACTTTATTCAGCACATATCAGTGTTGTATGCAATGGTGAGTAAATGTACTATGAGCTTTAATTCTCAAAATAGTGTACAATATGAATAAAAAACAAGACATATCAATATATTGAAGCATAGTCAAAATTATTATAGTTGGTTGCACAATCAGCCAGATGTTTAACTGCGTTTTTATCCACCTATCAAATTTTTCCCAAACCCCTGGGATTGGCAGGTACTGTTGTTTAATGGTGTTAAAGTTATTATCACAAAGTGTAAGCTGTTGCAAGTAAAACTGCTGTTTGCAATTGACTGATGGTGATTTTTGTCAATGCCAATGGTGTTTAAACAACATTTTGGAATTGCATCTGCCTACTACTACTTGTATTATCTTTGCTTTTCTTTGCCTTAGTCATTCTATTTGCAGATCTTTGTAATTTTTCTCCAGTTCTTTCCCTTCTATTCTGCTGACGCCAGGTATTGCAACATCCACTATCCAAACTTATTTGTTTTTCTTATCAACAATTGTTAGGTTTGGGGTATTATGTGGTAGATGCTTATCTATTTGAAGAGTACTTTAGCTTCTTCATTTTTTTATTACTTTCTTTATTGTATGGTCCCACTAGTTGTTGCTTGCAGGCAAACGGTACTTCTTGCAGATGTTACAGTGCAACATTGTTACTACTTTGTCACTTTGTTGCCTGTAGTTAGTCTGTGTAATCTTCTTGCAGCAGCTAACTAGGTGGTGTACTGTTTCTTTGACTTCTTGCAAAAGTGGCATTTACTGTCTGTTGCTGTCTTCTCAATTCTGGCTTTGTATGTATTTGTTCTTATGCAGCCAGAATTAGCCCCTCTGTCTCTTTCTTCAATTTTCTAGCCCTTAGCCATTGCCAGTTTTGTTGTTATCTGCTTTGTCTTTTATTTATTTTTTTAATGTAGTGACATGTAATACTTTGACTTGCCATGTCTTTTTTCTATTCTTTATTTGGTCTTTCTTGTGAGCCAGCTTAGTCTCTATGTCATGCTCCCAAAACTAAGAAAGTTATGTTGAGGTTCTTCTAAGCAATTTTCTTTGTTGTTCCTCAGGTATAGACAGAAATCTTGCTAACCCAAAGCAGACCACTAGCATCATTAAATATACACTCTGAGAACTAGAGAGGAGCCGTCTTAACTCTCTTTCTCCCATATAAATTTATTTTGCTCCTCTAGAATATACTCCCTCTCTCCTGACAATCTGCATTACATTTACCACACTCCAGTACTTAATAAGCCTTTATGGTGTATTAGCTTCAGTGCATCTTCAGATATTTTTCTAATGGCCTTTTTTCTTCTTCAATTGTCTTGTGTACTTGCAACATTCCTCACCCACTGATTTTCCTTAGTACCGTAAGTGGAATCTGCCAACATCACTGCATAGATGAAGGGCATGATTCACAGTCATTATTTTTCTCGGCTTCCTATCCAGGGCTTTTAGTTCTGCTTGAGTCCAGTCCACTATTCCAGCTGTGTATCTAATGACTGGGATTGCCTAGTTGTTAATTGCCTTAATGGTATTTCCTCCAGAGAATTTGGACCTTTGAAATTTTTTTCACTCTCATGATATATTCACTTCTAACCTTATTCTTGACTTCAGCGTGCTTAATGTTTTCAGCCTGAAGAATGCCTACATATATATAGTGATCTTTTTAATCCAGACTCTTGATGTTATTTTTATAGGGTATCTTGATTCCTTCAGTTTACACTGTTTTTCCTCTGTTGATAGTGAGCGTGGCACATTTGTCCAGTTCAAACTCCATTGCAATATCTTGGCCGTTTACATGGACAATGTTGAGCAATGATTCTATTTCAGATGGTATTTTTCCATACAGCTTCAGATAGTCCATGTAAGGGAGGTGGAATAGTCTGGCAGATGTTTTTGATATTGGAAAGCCATGGCCTGATTTGTTTGGTATTGTTGACAGAGGAATCAGTGCAACGACAAACAGTATGATGGTATTATTATTTAAATTTATATGCTGCCTAACTCCAATGACTCTGGGTGATTACAGATGAAATGTTAAAAACAAGAAAAAATGCAGTGATAGAGAAAAGGGCTAAAGATGTCAAGGATGACAGAAAAAACCCAGACATGAACAAAAAGAATCAAATCCATACAGTCCAAAGGGAATTGTAGTCACCCTCATCAAAGGCTTGGGTAAAGAAATTGGTTTTCAAGGCTCTTTGAAACATTAGCAGGATGGAGGACAGCCAGATCTCCACAGCAACCTCACTCCAGAATCTCATTCTTTGGCTCTAAGAATCAATCTTAGAGCCAAATTTTAATTCAGAGTTTTATATGAAATGTTTACTCACCCTACTCCTAATTGATAGAAACCTATTCATTTAATTGAACATATGTGATTCTGAACTGGTCTACTTTAGAAAAAGAATGTTGACAAGGCAGACAAAAATAGTAAGAGAGTACATGCCTTTTTTCATAGTTGAATAGCAATTAAAAGAGTTGAAATCCAAATACATCTAGACGACATCAGACTGGAGAAGGTACTGTATGTCTTACTCATAGAATACAATGTTATGGACCTGAATACTAGTATGTTTTTGGTCATCTCTTTTTTTTAATTGGTTCAGAGTAGTATATATTGTTCATTATAAATGCAGCAGACATTGTAAGAAGCAAAATAAAAATCTTTAAAATGTATATATCAAAAGGACTATTGATTCTTCATTACAATTCATGAATTAATTTGGGTATGTTACACAGTTATTGATCAATTGCATAGAATTCCTTAATACTGCTAATGTATCTTCATGCATTATTCAATAGCAAGTAAGCCATTAATATTAAAGAATAATATTTAATATTAACAGTCACTTCACTTATTAAGGGATGTATTATGAGACACTCTTGGGAACAATTTATCTTAAGATTTGCGCTTTCTATTCCCTGCCAAACTTATAGCTAGCTTCATCTACATGTTAATGCCATTTCCCAGTAACTACGCAAAAAGTGTTTTCTCTAGATGGAAGCATGATAAGAAGTCTCAGCTCTTGGAGTTTCAAAAAAAGAAAAAAACCCACCCTTTTAATAATAGAATCAGTATTTCAGAATTCCCGTCCTTTATATTCTTTGTGAGAGGATATGTCTGTGATTCCTTTTCCAAGAGCTCATGGGTGGGGACCAGGTCATGGAAAGGGTTTTCTATGTGAGGTTGCCCCAACCCTATGGATACTGTTCTGTTCAAATTAGTACCCCTTCAATATCATTTCAGAGAGTTGAAGACTATCCTCTCGTGCTGGGCTTATGGATTATGTGTGGTTATAAAGAATGATTCTACACTCTGTGCCCAATCATTGTTTGTACTGAATCTGTATTTGTTTTTTATAGTTTTTACATGTTCTTCATTGGGCAATGAATTAGCTAATAACTCTTGGTTTTCCAACAGCCCAGTATTTAAATAGAATCATAGTATATTCATGAACCTTTGTATATTTTGAAAATTAAAATCTACTAGAGCCAGAGAAGAATGCCTGCAATTTAAGGAAAGGAATGCTAAATAAAGAAATCATAACAGTGTGGCTGGATTGAATGAGGGAGTAAAGCTTAAAGATTTTAAGTATTTTTTAAATTATAAAACATAAGAGCACTAAGATGAATAGCAATAATAAAATTAAAGCAAAACATGCAAAAATGAAAAATAAATTTTAACAAAATAAAAAACAGGCAAACTTGTAGATAGTTATTGGTTCACAAAAATATAATACAATATTATAATCAGATAAAAAATAGTATTGTAAAATATCATAAAATCTATGCCAACAAAGAATGTGTTATTTCAGTGTCTGGTTAGTAAAAAATACAGACTTTTTCAGGACTGAAAAGTTCCTTATTTCCAAAGGCCGCTCGTTAATGTTTGAAATAATGTCACATTTCCAATTTCTCAAAATTATTCTTTGTGGCAACTCCTCACCCCCTCCCCATCATACCCCCCTATACAGTACTACCATAATTCCATAATTCCTCCTAGTTCAGGGGTAGGCAACCTCCGCTCTTTTATGACTCATGGACTTCAACGCCCAGAATTCCTGAGTCAGCTATGCTGACTCAGGAATTCTGTGAGTTGAAGTCCAGATCTGATGTATAATTGACATTAATTTCTTTAGCATTTAAATATTTCCCCAGAAATCTACTTTTATACATTAAAATACCATTCTCCAAAAATGTCAACAATTCACAAGACCACATCATGAGAGTAAGAGCGCAGTGGCTCACATGGTTAGGATCTAGGTTGGAGATTAGCAAGCCCACATTTGAGACCGGAGTGCTGCTGTATGGCGGTGAACTCTATTACTCTCTCCAGTTCCTTGATAGGGACATGAAAGGACCCTCTCCATGGGGGTCCCTGGGCAACTGTGATGTCACTGGCTAATTGTTTCAACCTGGAAACACCATAAATGTGCCTCGACACAGATGGGACGGGATCATGTGAGTGAATGAATCCTCAAATTTTTCACAGAGAAAATCTGATGCTCATGAGCCGAGGTGGCGCAGCAGTTAGAGTGCAGTACTGCAGGCCACTTTAGCTGACTGTGTTCAGCAGGTCAGCGGTTCAAATCTCACCGGCTCAAGGTTGACTCAGCCTTCCATCCTTCCCAGGTAGGTAAAATGAGGACCCAGATTGTTGGGGGCAATGTAAATATATATATATATTGCTTACTGGTGTACACCGCTTAGAGAGTGCTTGCACTTAAAGGGGTATATAAGCCTCATAAATAAATAAATAAATGGGATATGATAGACATGGGAGCTTGCAGAGTCCCCTGAAGTGGGCGGGGCAAATCTTTTGCCCCATTTTGTATGAGGGATTAAAGAACAAAATATGTGTCTTAAATCTTGCAAAAATGCATATTATCTCTTAACACACAAACTTAGTCCAGTTTTTCTCATTTTGAATCTATTCAGGGATAGCTTGGCTCCTTAAATATCCCCATTCCCAAAGAATTCCCCCAAATTTTGTTTCTTCCTACCTGTTGACATAATACCGTTAGTTACTCTGCTGTACAAGGAGTAATACTTCCTTCGTAAGAATGCCTTCTTAAAATTCAGGTAATTTTATTATAGGCGTTATATCGCTTTTCTTGGAGTTTTGTTTACTTTCCTAAAGTGTGAACAAGATTTTTACATATAGAAAACTGTAGGTATGCTTTTGTTTTGTTTCATTTTCTTTGTTTGTTTTTCTGATTTATATTTTACTTTTTATGATAAAACAATACATAATATTAAAAAAATATTTTTACATATAGAAAACTCTATGTTATAAAGCACTTATATTTCTATACTACAGATGGAGTGAACTAGGAGGATTTGTAGTTTCCAATGGCCGTTTACAGGTAAATGAAACGAACTTTTTAAAATTGTTGCCACAGTACTGTAGATCAGTATTCTCCAATAGGTAAGCTTTATTTATCACCAGGGAAAGCAGGCTTTTGAAGAATGATTGTGAATTTACATAAAAGTGATGCTTCTAATTTATATTCATAAAAGGATTTTAAAAATGCTACACCCTGAGTAGAAATATAGCACATCTTATAACATAAATATTCGATCATCTGCTCAATGTTAAGGAATTTGGAAACCTGAGAAAAAAGTATGAAAAATCTTACTTGATTACAGCCAATACAGTTAATTTTGAATCAGAAAAAGGAAGTCCAGTATATCCATACGCACAACTTTCCTCTCATGAACAGATAGATGCTTGTTCTTTTCATACAGAAGTGCATTGGCTGCAATACATTTCAATAAATAAAATCATGAAACCTCTACAAGTTTTCTATGTATCCAAATTGTTTATTTTATTCATTTAATTTATAGATTGCCTTTATTAATTTTTTATTATTATTTTTGCACTTGGGAAAATCTGCACCAATAGACAAATGTGCAGCCTTGACGATTATGTTCTCTGGATTGAGAGGGAAAAAAAAAAAACCCTATCCTGGAGGAGATGTTAGCATTTCCTGATGTGTTTTGAGCTAATTACAGACACTGCATTTATGAAAATGATTTTTCAGACAGGAGTTCTTCGAACCAATTGTGTGGACTGCTTAGATCGCACGAATACAGCCCAATTTATGGTTGGAAAGTGTGCTTTAGCCTACCAACTCTATTCCTTGGGATTGATTGACAAACCCAATCTTCTATTTGACACAGATGCTGTTAGGTAAGATTTTTCTTCTGAAAGATTTAGTAAATACAGCCATTTGTTTTACACTACTAATTCTTTTCTAAACCTCTGTTTCTGCACACCATGTCACATTAACTTGAATATTTTAGCATATTTAAATGGAGATTCGTTTATCTGACAGCTGAAAAATCTTTTTCTGTTCCTGAAGCACGGATGGATAGATGGATTTATTTATTGATTGTGGAAACAGCTTTGCTGCTCCAATCTAATTGAAGCAGCTTTTGTACAGTACCAGTTGACTTTAAATTGGCATTTCATCTTTCTCAAATCTTTTTGGTAAAAATTAAAGTAAGCTTTGTGAAATTGGACAGGTTCTTCAGTTCCTATGAGGTTGAGTGACAAATGATAATGGATATTGATTATGAGAAAGATTAAAATGCCAGTTGATGATTACTCTTTTTAGTAGAGAAAAAAATAATAAAAAATAAAAAAAATATGTTTGCAACAAGCTTCCCTAATTTAATACCTAAGAAGAATATTTTTATGTTTGGCTTTTAATGCTTTCCTCTATGCTCTGTTTTTGGGAAATGCTTACAGATTCGAAGCTTAGCTGCCCATATGGATCAGGGGAAATTGAGATAATAAAGTGTGTTTTTACAAAGCTTGTTTTTGGGAAATGCTTACAGATTCAAAGCTCAGCTACCTATATGTATCAGGGGAAATTGAGATAGTAAAGAGTGTTTTTACAAAGCTTGTGTTATAGTGATGTCCATGAAGAGCTCTGTGTCCATTTTAGCTAGGATTTCAGTTAAGCTAGACACATCTTAATGTATTGCTGAGCAGGAACGACAGACAAAACAAATGTCTGTGTGGGAGCTTTGCTATTGGCCATATGAGGTCAATATCAATTATTCTTGCTTTGCTTTGAGTCATGATTTTAAATCTGTACTGTCTGGATATAATGGAAGTTTTTAGCTTGCATTGTATCTAAGATAGTAATAAACTCCTAAAGTTACTGCATGTCAATATATTTCTGCCTGCTCAAGAAATAGCTAATGGTTTCTCATTTGTATCTGTCCCACTAGATGCAATTCTAAACTATGTTGTTCCTCCTGCTTTAGATTATTTGAAGAATTATATGAAGATCATGGGGATACATTGTCACTCCAGTATGGTGGCTCTCAACTGGTTCATAGAGTAAAAACTTACAGAAAAATAGCACCCTGGACCCAGCATTCTAAAGATATTATGCAAACTCTTTCAAGATACTATAGCAATGCTTTTTCAGGTATTGAATTGAATTCTGGTTTGGAGATTTTTTCATATCACTTAAGAGGCACTTTAGAGGTATGTTTTCTAATTAATAATAATTAATAGCAGTCAGGTTTGACAGAGAATATTGTTTTGATTAAAAAGAGCTTTATCAAATAAAAGCAGTATGGATATGTCTAGGTAGCCACAATAAATTTTGTTTTATGAAAACAAACGTATTTTCAAGTGGAGATAAGTTATTGTACATATGTACAATTGTATAATAAGTTCAGGGTATATCCAAATTTAATGTTCCATGTATTACTGTGCTGGAAATGGATTTACACAGAATAGCCAAGGTTATAATACTCTTGCTACACATAAACTGTGAGCTGTTGAATAGACTCTTTGCATGATTCCTGTTTTGCTAAAGGAAAGTATATTAGTTAATGAAGGGATCATTTTTAAAGTATAATAGGGAAGCATTGAAGGAATAACCCAGCTTCCAAGTTTAATGTGAAGGAAATACATTGGAGAATAAGTTATCTAGAAGATAAATCTATAATAAAACTGAGACTGAAATAAAATAAAATTGATTTTAAGGGGAAAGGAAATAGAACTTGTTGTGTTAAGCAACATGGAACAGCATATTAGAAAAAATATGGAAAGGCTATAGGAAACAGATATATATTCCATATGCGTGGAAATTGCCACTGTATTGTGTTCTCTTGTAAGGAAGATACTGGGCTATGTGTGAACTTATCCAAAGCGATTGGCTGCTGCAGGCAGGAAGAAATGCCCAAAATATAATGATGGCTTTTCAGTGTGCTTTTGCAAAAACATTAAGAAATAATTTGAAACAAAAATTCTGTTTGCAGCTATAGACCTGGGTTTCCTATAATGTTAATCTTCTGTCATTCTAACTCTACTTCCATCTTTCTCCATTCCGATTTTAAGCTTTCTGGCAATAGAATTAAATAATAAATTTTGAGAGAATATGTATTTTTTTAAAAAAAATTAAATCCCTTTCCTTGTATCTTTTAGATGCTGACCGGCAAGATTCTATTAACTTGTTTCTAGGAGTATTTCAGCCTGAAGAAGGGAAGTCTCATCTCTGGGAACTTCCTACTGATTTTTATTTACATCAAAAGGATGCAATGAATCTTCTCCAGACAAGGCGAAGGTATTTCATTTCAATATTCCCTAGGAACAGAAAATCAGTTCCATTCCATTTCCTTCTGCCTCCATCCTATGTGGGTTATAGGGAGCTTCAAGAGAAAGAGCATAGGGTTTTTATGCCACTTTTACTAACAGAAACCTGTGCAAGAGTTTTTATTGCAAGCAGAAACTTCCATTAATAAATTTTACTTTTTTGAAACTCTTTCCATTCATAGAGTTATCTATATCTATCTATCTATCTATCTATCTATCTATCTATCTATCTATCTATCTATCTATCTATCTATCTATCTATCTATCTATCTATCTACCTACCTACCTACCTACCTACCTACCTACCTACCTACCTACTACCTACCTACCTACCTACCTACCTACCTACCTATCTACTATCTATCTATCTATCTATCTAGTCTAGTTCAGTGGTTCTCAACCTGTGGGTCGGGACCCATTTGGGTTGAACGACCATTTCACGGGGGTCGCCAAACAACGCAGTCCCGCCATTTCCCCCCCCCCCCTTTTTCCTTAGCTGTGCTACTCCCTTTTATTCTATTGGCTTTTGAAAGCCAATAGGATAGACTCTCTTGAATAGAGTCTAATTCTATTGGCTTTCAAAGCCAATAGGAATTGTCCAGGCTGTCTCTGCCCTGCTGAGCCCGCCAAAAGTCCCATTCTGCAAACGGTGCTGCACCAGTTGAGTAGTCCTCGACGTACGACCGGTTGAGTAGTCCTCGACTTACGACCGGTTGGGGGTCGTGGCATTAAAAAGGTTGAGAACCACTGATCTAATTAATGCAGTTCTGCCCTGTTCTATCTCAAACAAATATATTAGGCATGATTTTCCCTACTGTTATCAGCAGTCTCTTTCTGCTCTATCTATATAATTGAAATAAGTAATGTTTAAATATATCACAATGAAAGGAATTGGCAAGGGATCCCTCAAAGAACTTTTTCAGAACTGAAGTATTCCAACTTCTTTATAAATAAACTGGACTTAGCGGCATGGAGGCACATTGGCTGGTGACAGTTAATTCAGGGTGCTAAAAACAAAGATTTCCAAAATTGTATCTCCAAACTAAAGAAAGATTAAAATGAAAAACTGTGTTCGAGTAGAATTTATTGTCATACATTGGGACAAAAATATAGTTTAGAATTGGAAAACATGCTAATACTTACTGTATATCAAAATTATTAGGAATATTGAGCAGCTGTACTATGAGGAAAAGTTTCAACATTTGTAGAGAGAGAGAAAATGATGTGAAATTCAGAATACAGAAGAGAAAAGTATGATAAATTACAAAATCATCATAGGCAGTATGAAAGATAATTTTAAAAGAACTAGATAAATTTATAGATGATATGACAGTGAATGGCTACCACTCATAAATGCTCAGTATTGCTTACAGGATTAAATACAGTATGCACTTGAATATTACTTATTGTAGAACAACATGAGTAAGGATTATTGCATTTATGTTCTGCTTGTAAGGTTCCCAAAAATATCCCATTGGACACTATCGAAAGCAATATTAGTTGCATAAGCTGTATTATCATGATACAGTTACAATATGAAGATAGATTATACTGTAAACCATAGATCTAGTATTTTAGTATCAGTTTAATTGATTGCCTTGAGATATGATTCAGAATTACAGACTTGATCTCAATTTGTACAGTCAGAGTGACCATGATGGAAAAAGCAACTAGAACTTATTCTTTGATTATATTGGTTTGTAAAATGTACTGTCTTTGTAGAGAATGGCTTTTTGATGACTAAAGATAAGATTATATCCATAGCAGTATGAGGAGAGAAATGTTAGTCACCTTCAGAGATTTCATCATGCCACTCAGAAAACAAAAAGCAAGAACATGGCTGATGGCCAAAATGACACACATACAGAAATTGAACAGTGTAAGGATGTGTCAAGAGTAGAAGACAAAGAAACTTTTGCACTGGTGGGAAATACTACTATTTTTAATTAGCAGATACATTAATTTGCTTCTAATATATTGCTTTACAAGGGTTCAAAAGGTTTTGCACAATAGTTATATATGCCAGATATGGTACTCTACAACTACTTGTATATGATTATTTCCATTTGCTAGCGGAAAAATGAAACTATTTGCAGGATTTGGAGGAGTAAAATTAATCCTAGGTCACTGGTCTGAACAACCCAAACAATTCAATTAACACTAAAACAGCAAGAGAAAATGTCTGATTAATTTTATTAGATTTTCAGAATACACAGTTGATTGGCTTGGAATATTTCCCAGCAAAGTTATTTGTAGGCCCTCTATTAAAGACACCCTTCCATCTTAATATATCTTCAAATAATCCCAAAGGTGCTTTTTTTTTTCAAATGATAACTGGATCTTCTTTCACTTCTCCTCCAAGAAGCTTCTTCAGTTTTCATAATCTCTTCAAATGTTGTTCATAGTATGTTTAGGTGTGCATCATGTATGTGTTTCACTTTGAGAGCGGGCAACTACATTTCATTTTTGATGTGTGCCGTTGTGCTCACAGTAAAAAAAAATGACAATAAAGCTTATCTTATAACTTTTCAGGCTAAGATTTTCTATTATGAAACTTGTGGAGTGAGAAAGCACACTGTAACAGTTGGCTAAGTTATAATGAATGTTTAAATCATGAGATTCCATGTGCATGGCAACAGCATAAGGTTGGCAGCCGGAAAGGATAACAGTACCACATCCAGAGCTATGGTTTTACTTTGTTGACATATTAATAGATAAAAGATACTGATGTAAAAGAAGACATTTGAAAGAGAATGAAATAACCTCAAGCCCTAAACAGAGAGGTTATGAATGATTAGTAGGGTTTGAATGTCAGATATAGCAAACTAGTCTAGCATAGTAAGTATCTTCAACAATTGGTTCTGTTTCACAAATGGCAGAAACTGAAAGAGATGGAGGTTAGGACAAGTTCATCAATGCTAAGTTAACACATTTGGAAGGAACTGTGCAGGCACTACAGCTCTGCAACAAACAAAAGCTAAACGTATGTTATTCTGTTATTCAGAATTAAAATAGTTTAAACTTTTACAAATACTTTGAAAATCATTTAATAATCAATGCAAATATATCGTTTCTAATATAAATGAGCAATGTTGTAATTGTTTTGTGTCACATTTTATAATGGAAGGGGAAGATGTATATTTCTGCTACTTTAAGACTAATTACCTATAATTAAAAGTTGGATTATATATAGATGGTTTCCTAAAGATGTTACATTGTTCTACTTTAGTAGGCTGTTCTATTAAGAAGGATATACATTGTTGACTGAAGTAAAGAATGTATTATATGTAGAAGATGGGTATTAAGATAGACAATTATTTAACCTCAACCTCACAGCTAATTTCTCATTTATTTTTATAATAATATTAATTTGCTGCATAATATAATAAAGAATTTATAATCTAAAATTTGGATAATATAGCATGTGTAATTTCATTTATATATATTTGGGCTTAGCAGCTGTAGAGCGTGAGGAATAGAGTGAGGGTTTGGGTAGAGGGCTCCAAGATCAGCAAGGTGAGAAGTATCATGTGCCAAGAGGCAATTGCAAATATAACATATGTGAAGGATGGATGGATTTTTTTTTCATTGTATGCTTTTGTTTTTTTGCTTAAAGCTACACTTTTTGGTGGACTCCTGGTGTTTTAAAGTATTTGCCACTGCCTTTTGATGAAGGTAAATAATATTTGTATAATAACGAACACTATATAACCTGTATAATATGCAACATAAAGTGGGCATAATAAAAATATTCCCTAACATAATGGTGAATTAAGCTTGAGTATTGTTAATGAGGCATCTCTTTATGTAGATATATGAAATATTGAATTTAGCATATTCTTGGATTATCTCTCTCATCCATCTTAATATATTGTTTTCCCATTTTTCAATTTCATGCATTAATATAACTGTCAAAAAGGATAAGTACCAAAAAGGGGCAGATAATTAAAACAAGAAACCAGCAAATAGCCTGAATCTGCCAGGACAGAATCAGGAAAACCAGGGGTCAGAATGAACTAAGACTTAAAACAAACATCAAAAATAACCAATATGAACTATATATGCATTTACTTGTTTTAGTGACATGTGCTGAAAACCAGAGGAAGCTAATAGTGAAGAGATTTCATAGGTTTGATGAAGAGATTGACATTCATAATGATTTTTTTCGACCGTATGAACTCAGCAGTTTTGATGAAATCTTTTGCTTGGCAATGACAAATTCAATGCGGTATGTTTGTTTCATTTTTAATAATGTTGCATTTTGAACTTGCTTTTTTATTCCAAACTCTTATTCAATTTTCCTTAAAAAGTATATAGTAGAAAATATACCTTAAGATAGTAGCAGCAATGGACTGTTAGAAATTACATACTATTTCTCTTTTAATTCAATAAATAATGTGCTAAAATTCCATAGAATTCTGTACTGTCGGCTTCCAGTTTCAAAAGAATCTTAATTCTGTCCAGTTTCCATCACAGTGCATTTATAAACCAACCTAGTTTTGCAGGAATCCACTAACATAAGATGTTCTGAAATATTTGCATTTTGCTGGTAAGTGTGTGGGATAGGTTGACTGTGTGAATCAGTTATCAAAAAGTGAATTTGAAATGATTTTGGTTATTTAACAAGAGCAATATAATTTAATACATGCAAAAAACAGTGCTGTTGGAAATGCCCAATCCAGCCAGTAATACAAATAAATCACATCCTAACTTGAATGTAAAAAAGAACTTCCCTATATATTACATATACATGCTTTGTTTTCATTTGAATTTGTTTTATAGATTTTACTGACAGGACTTAACTATGACAAATATATTGGGGGAGCTCTAAATAATTCAGGAAAAAACATACATTTTTATGGCAATTATGTCTGAAGTTTATTATTCTATAGAAAAATATTACTTCAGAAAAGTAATATAGCTTTTTATTTGATCATTGATTTTCCTTTCTCCTACACATTTCTTCAGAGATTTTATGCCCAAGAATGTTCCCATTGATCCCAGCCCATTTACTGTACGTAAACCAGATGAAACTGGAAAATCTGTTTTGGGGTAAGAAAAGAATCACTGTAAAAAGCATAATATTGCTTTATTTATTTAGCTATATTTACATTATCTGCTATTGTTCTGATGTTGGATAGAATGCAGTGTGAATTGGACCAATGACTATTTTTGTGTTAAAAAGATATAAGCAGATTAGGCACAGGAGTGAAATGGACGCACAAGGCTGGAGTTTGAATTTCAGCTTCTAAATCTTAATAGAATAGAATGGAATGGAATGGAATGGAATAGAATAGAATAGAATAGAATAGAATAGAATAGAATAGAATAGAATAGAATAGAATAGAATAGAATCAGGAAGGGATCTTGGAGATCTTCTAGTCCAGCCCCCTGTTCGAGCATGAGAACCTATAGTAGTTTAATAGATTTACAGTAAACCATCTTTCTGCCTGCAAAACCCACAAAAGGAGATTGGCATCTGCCTTTGCTTCTGTCAGAGAGATTTATGCTGTTCTTTTTTTTCCTCTGGACTCCTCTGGAAGCTGGACTCCTACAAAGACCAAACTAAGATAATACCAAGTAGTGGAACTATAACTAGCTGCCAGAGTGCTAGACACCAATGCATTCAATGCTTTTTCTCCAACTGTAAATGCTCTTTTCTAATGGGGGAGTAAAAAACAAGAATAGTCTGACAATTACAGAACTAGTCCAATGTTTTATTGCCATTTGATGCATGAAATTTCATTTTAGTATTTCTACTGTTAAATCCTTTATAATAAAGGTGATAAGTGTTTTTGCTAATTTACCTAGAGTCTACCTTTCTACCTAACAAAGTTGTTTGGTTAGCAACATTTCCGTTATTGGGGCAGAATTCAAATCAAATTTGAGATAAACATCCTTCTTCTGTTTTCTTCTTCGTTTTTTGCATTAGTACTTCACCAGCCAAGTCTTGTCTTAGCAAAAAGTCATTCTTGTTTCTTCAATTAAGCTTATCTCCAAGTCTTGCCACACTTCAAGATAGACAGTTACTGACTAAAGAGCTTGGCATTGTAGCAGCTGGTAAAGGAAGAATTATACGGAAATATGTAACATTGCAAGAATTTTTAATATAGGATAGATAATGTCCTTTGGGTTCAGAGTATAATTCAGCCTTCTGACTCGCTTGTAAGCTGCAGAAGGCCTTCTGGTTGCTTGTGATCCACAGACTACTCATTTTAAAGCAATAGATCTTTTTTTTCTCCAGGAAAAAAAATAGAAATGTATTTCTATACATACAAAATAAATAAAATATGTTTATAAAGGTATGTTTAGTTTCTAAAAATAAAAAAGCAGAATCTTATTCAGATAATTATAAATTGACAGTGTTGATCACATTTACTGTACCCCTGATTTTTCTGAATATTTTCCAGGCTTCTGCATTTCTAATGATATACTCCTATTCGCTGATCTGTTCAGCATACAATATGTCTCTCTTTAGTTCTGTGTATTTCAGATCTTATTTTGCTACCAATGTTGCTATGAGGTATGGGTTCTGTTATGTTTTAGAAAAGTAACTCAGTTATTACTATCAGATCCAGTTGAAAAAAAGTGAGTAAGAACATTGTGTCCATTTCGATTGATTTTTTATCTGTTCCACAATCTGAATTGGGAATGGACTTTTGGTACTTACAATTCAACACATACGAAGGTTTATAGGTTGAGATAAGTTTATATAGTCTGCATACTTATTGGTTCTATGCTGGATTGCAAGAAAAGACTAGTTCCAAGTGTCTTGCCTTTTGCATAATAAATCTTTTGAGCTATCTTCACCTAATAGGTGGTGTTGAGAAGCATGACTTCTACAGATATGTTTCCCTACTAAAATTTACTGTTGCAACACTGTACTAACATATGTCCACCCGTTCCCACAGTGCATTAAGCAGTCTTAAGAATTCATAACAGATCTAGAACTCTACCTAAAAAAAATTGCAGAGATAATATTTAGTTAATGGTCTTGTGACAACTGAAGTTACAGAGTTTTCTGTGTTGAGAGATCTTCAAACTCTGATGATTATCCTAGTTTTGCTCAAATATTTTGTAATGTGCCTGATGAAAGAGTTTACTTTTAATATTATGACTATTGAATCAGGACTAACTACTGCTTCATTTCAGTACATCCAGGATTTTTTTCTTAAATTTTTACTTTCTGTTCTTATTTTTGTTTTAATGATCCCCCCCCCCTTTAAAAAAAAGAACATAAGGGTAGTTTCATTTCTTCATCTCGCTCCTCAGTCTCTAAAAATCCATTTGCTGAAAGCAGCATTCTTATAGGTCTTTAAGGAGGGAATTACTATAATTGCATGCAAGTGATCAATAAGATTATCTGTACTGAAAATCTAAAGTCATATTTTGTTCTTAATATATCATGCTAATAGAGAATAGATCAATTGCATTTTTTTTCTCTTGAAATAGGTCAGAGACTTTAAGTCATTACTCTTTCAAAAATATCAGTGTCAAAATGTTCTGATCTTGATATGGAGCCATTTAACCACTAGTTTGCAATTTACTGTTTTCTAGGCTGGACTTTTTAAGTGATGGCAAATGACTCAGTTCAGCTAACAAAGCCTTTGAAAGTCATCCTTTGCTCTTACCTTTGTTTGTAGAGCTTTACCTGATAATCTAAAGATTAAAAGCCATTTTAATTGGGTTCTTGTTTCCTAATGTTTTTGCACCTTGGATTAAAACGTGTAGTCAAAATTATAAATGATATTAAAGGCCAAGTGGTCCAGAGGCAGAACAAACTGTAGTTGTAGCTGGAACAGAAAGTCTATCAGAATTTAGCCTCAGAGGATCAAGGACTCTAGCAAGTGAAAAGAATCAAAGCATAACATGATATTTTATGGAGAAATCCATGAAGCTTCTGTTAAAGAGGCATTATGTGCCATGTCTTACTGCAGCTATAGTGTTCCAGATCTGTTAATCAAGAGGCATATCAGGGATAATGGTGTCTTTTCCCCCTACTGTTCAAGTTTGAATGGTTTATTTATTTAATCTAGATCTAGAATATTACTAACCATCAGTATTTTAGTAGTTTACTAGAAAACAATTGAAATTCAAGACATTGAAAAAGCTCAAATACAAATGTTATATGTCAGCTCTTTGAGGTAGATCAGGTCAGGAAACAGAACTACTATACTATTGTAAAGTGTATTAACATAATCACCACCAGATGGATTCGTGGCTGGCTGACCGGCTGTACTCAGTGTGTGGTCCTCAATGGAACTGCATCTACATGGAGGGAAGTGTGTAGTGGGGTGCTCCAGGGCTCTGTTCTAGGCCCAGTGCTCTTCAACATCTTCATCAATGATTTGGAGGAGGGGATAGATGGGGAACTCATCAAATTTGCGGATGACACCAAGCTGGCAGGAATAGCCAACACTCCAGAAGACAGGCTTAAGATACAACAGAATGAAATTCAACGGTGAAAAAAGTAAGGTTCTACATTTAGGCAAGAAAAACCAAATGTACAGGTATAGTATAGGGGGTACCTTGCTCAATAGTAGTAACTGTGAGAGGGATCTTGGAGTCCTAGTGGACAATCACTTAAATATGAGCCAGCAGTGTGCTGCAGCTGCCAAAAAAGCCAACACAGTGCTGGGCTGCATTAACAGAGGGATAGAATCACAATCACGTGAAGTATTGATACCACTTTACAATGCCTTGGTAAGTCCACACTTGGAATACTGCATCCAGTTTTGGTCACCACGATGTAAAAAAGATGCTAAGACTCTAGAAAGAGTACAAAGAAGAGCAACAAAGATGATTAGGGGACTGGAGGCTAAAACATATGAGGAACAGTTGCTGGAATTGGGTATGTCTAGTTTAACAAAGAGAAGGACGAGGAGGGACATGATAGCAGTGTTCCAATATCTCAGGGGCTGCCACAAAGAAGAGGGAGTCAAGCTATTTTCCAAAGCGCCTGAAGGCAGGACGAGAAGCAACGGGTGGAAACTAACCAAAGAGAGAAGCAACCTAGAACCAAGCAGAAACTTTCTGACAATTAGAACAATTAATCAGTGGAACAACCTGCGTCCAGAAGCGGTGAATACTCCAACACTGGAAGTTTTTAAGAAGAAACTGGACAGGCATTTGTCTGAAATGGTGTGGGGTTCTTGCCTGAGCAGGGGGTGGGACTCGATGACCTCCAAGGTCCCTTTCAACTTTATTATTATTATTGTTGTTGTTATTATTATTATTTGCAAGAATATCCCTTTTCCACCTCTTAAACCAGAGTCAAAGCAGGATGGTTTTGATCTTTCCTCTCCTCTTCTACCTCTGAATCTTTTTACTCGTTATCTTATTCTTCCACACCCACAAGCTCTGCAGAAAATGCTGTTCAAAGAAAGAAGAAGCTCAAATCATCTACAGAGAAGCTTGTGACAAAGCTACATTAAGGATGGTGTTTTTTTTTTGTTTGATTGAAAAAATTATATACTACACAATTCCCAATAAAGTCAGCTTCTAGTAGTTAATAGTGGGAAACACAACAATCCATAATGTATCTATCTTAAATTTTGGGAGAAAAAAAAACATACCGTCCACTCTTGTGTTCAGCTACAGTTATTTCAACATATATTATTATCTCTTCCTAGTAGCCATAACTGTGAGCTGGATTTTATTCATTCATTTATTCATTCATTCCATTTTTATAGCTGCCCATCTCAACCAATACCTCTGAATGGCTTCCAGTTCCAAAAATATAAAAAAAAGATTAAAGCATTAAATATTTAGAACAATAAAACATCTAAAATAAATATATGCATATATAATTAATCAGTAAACAGTAGAATAGTAGAAATATTAGTAAAGCCAAGAAATGGAGCCGTTAACACATTCGAAGACCTAGGCTTGGGTACAGAGCCAAGTTTATAAAGCCTTACAAAAGGCCAGCAGGGTTGGGGCCATTCTAATCTCTGAGGGGAGACTATTCCACAGAACAGGGCCTTCTCAGGAAAGGCCCATCTTCTGAGCCCCACCAGCCGACACTGCAAGATGAAATTGGATATTTTATTACCCTTTGGATCAGTGTTATTAACAATATTCAATAAAATGTATTGGTGAGAGGTTGAGAGCAGTCCCAGGGGTTCACATGTTCCTTTACCAGAACCTCTGTTTTAAATAAATGTTTTCCCACAACCATCATTTATATTTATTTGGTTTAACAATTGACACAAACCATACTTCTTTCCTACTTAGGATATCCTCAGGCTCATGTTGCTGTTGTTTAGTTTAGGGAAATAGGACTTCCTGAAGAGAAAAGAAATTGAATATTTTTACTCCTATCCCCAGTGTTTCAAATGTGTACAGAATCTGGATGACAGTCAGCCCCCCCCCCCCAAAAAAAGCCGTGGGTGAACTGATAAACATGTTTCCAAAGTTTATTAAATGTTAATTGTTAATCACAATGAAAGGCAAGCTAAGAAACAAGCTACTGTTAATTTCAGTTCATTAACTATTGAATTTTAATGAGGTTTAAATGAAATTAAGTCAGATTTTGGTATGGTTCTTGTCCATCTATTATTTTTAAGTAGGTGACTTCTGGCATGTTAATCAACAGTTAAGTGCAGCTTTGACTCTGATGAAATATCAAGAAGCAAAATTAGCATAAGGAAAAGAAGAAGAATTCTTTCCTTCTGATTCTGTTTCTTGAATTCACAATTCTGTCTTTCCTCAGAAACAAAAGCAACCGAGGAGAAGAAACCGTACTGCAACGTAAAACGGCTGCTAGTGCTCCTCCGCCCCCCAGCGAGGAGGCCGTGTCCAGCAGCTCTGAGGATGATTCTGGAACTGATAAAGAAGACGAGGGTGCCACCTCTCAGCGTTCAACACCCGTGAAAATATCAGATACTGGAGACAATACCAAAATAACAGAAGTAAGAAATTGGGGTGCCACAAAAACAGGCATGGTTTTATATCCGCTCTTCTGCTTTGTATTCAATACGTACCGAAGGCTTACACATCTGATTTTTCTCTCTCCATTATAGACATTTTTTTTGCTAAGATATAAAAGCAATCACAAGAAGATAAAACCAAAATAAAAACACTGAGGAGGGACCTAGGAAAGCAGATGGAGTACTTAAAAAGCAATTTTAAAAGGGATCGTGCAACTGATTAGATTTCATGCAGAAAATATACCGTGAAGTACTTGATATGTATCAGTGTTTTAAATTAAACTAGGTAATTTAGTCAGGAGTGAAAAATGGGTTAATAGAATATTGGATTAATATAGAAATATAGCTTAATACTACATTTTCAAATAGGAATACTAATTTAGCCAGATGATACCCTTGTGCAGACTGATTCACTACCATTATAATGCTTCAATATCTGGTGATGTTAATGAAGACATGTAAACACAATAAGATGAGGCATCTTGATAATTTTGTTTCAGCACAGTACAGACATTTAAGATTGTACAAGGAAAAGTTCAGAGCACAACCTATGGACAATCAAAGATCAAAAAATACCTTGTCTTTCAAAACATGATATGCAAGAAGAATTTTATGTTTCTGGCCAGATTGGGACTATGAGCCATAGTTGAGACTGGGGGGTGGGTGGGAGTGTCTGTGTATCTGGGGATTTACTATCTCTGGTCTTGGATGGGGTTGCTCTGCCCTAGATGGACCTAGTGTGTAACCTGAGAATCCTCCTGTACTCATGATTCCTGCTTGAGCAGGTGGCAGTCATAGCTAGGAAGGCCTTAGCACAATTTTGAGCTATATGACAGTTGCGCCCTTCCTTAATTAGGAGCCCTTCTCTCGATCACTCATCCCCTGGACATCTCCCACATGGACTACTCCAATGTGCTGTACATGGGACTATTCTTAAAGAGTTTCCAGAAGCTGCAGCTGGTACATGTAACTTCTGCTGCGTAAGCTGCATTGGATGCTTGTTTGCTTCCAAGTGCAAACATTTTTGCTTTTAGTTTTACATTAATCAGGACTTACTGTGATTCCCAAATTTGGAGAACTGTAATATGTTCTAATTGTAGCTAGTGAGAACAAGTGAGGGCCAAACCATGTTCTTATATTAAGCAGATGCCGTCAAGTATGGGTCTCATCTAATACCTAAATATTAAAGATTTAAACTTACTATATTTATTATTTTATTTACTTTATTTATTTATAAATTAATTTGAATAATTCATATTTGAAAGTTTATTGTTCCTTTTAGATGCCAAAGAGGAGGTTTGGTGGGGTATATAGCATAATATTCTGAAATCCATGGAATATTACATTTTTTTAGTCCCTTCATCTGGAATAAACATATGGCCTCTTTGGAGATGTGCATTTGAACATGCACACATAGACTCTTTCTCACCGCTGATCTTTTACCTGCTTTGATTTTGCATGGCTAGATTGCATAGGTTGAGAATTAATGGAAAAATCTTCATTATTGCAGATTATTTGTGGGATTCTTCTTGTACACAACATCAAACATCATCTGAAATGTTGGCCCATTTTTTAGTTCTTTACCCTAAGTGGTTTCAAAGAGGAAGTCTAATAGCATCCCCCAAGCTGCTGTGCCTTACTGAAGTTGGGGGAATTAGATGGAAACATGTATGTCAATGAGCTGAGTCTCTTAATTCCTTTTACTCCAATCTTTGCCCCAAAATCACTACTCTGCTTCTAGGTAGATGTCTAGATAAACTAGAGGAGGATTTTATTCTTTTACTATGAGACCAGTTCTCTGAGACTATATAGAAGATTGCAAGGTTCTTTTCTGTCACTAGTCTGATACATTGCTAATGACTGGAAATGCCCTAAATTGAGTAATAGTAAACACTCTGTGTTGAGCACAAGTTTTGTGATAATTTATTTTTTTCTTTTTTCTGGAATCCTGACCATTGATAGAAATATATCACGTTACACTTAAGGGGCCCTAATTCTCTTAGTGCCACTCTTTCCCTAAAGATTAAAATTGCATATGTTAGTAAGAAGCAAAATGAAGATGATTTTGGCTGGAGCTCTCTGGAGAACACAGCCGTCATTTGGTAATCCATCTTTCATCCAGTTTTATGATTACACATTCTACTGAAACCCCCCCCCCCCAAGAATTAAAATTAAGCTGGTCAAAAGAATTGATAACACATAGATATAAATATATATTTTATAATAAGAAAGATATGATTTATAATTAAAATAGCACTCTTTCTTTTGATATGGGAATTATAAAGACACTAGGATGGCTTGTATAAATAAAATCTCTGGCTACATAAATGTAACTAATTTTGAGAAAATCATAACTGACAAAGATATTTTGAATACTGATGGGAAATTAAACTTAAATAAGAGCTCGAAAAACAGGGCACTGATTTAATAAGGAGATTTTAATTGCAAATGCAATTTAAATATAAAGTGATCAGAAAAGAGGTTATAAATTGGTACTATTGTTATTTGTATAACACTAGAAAAATATGAAGAGGATGTGTGTATCTAATTTGTATGTATTAATAGTAGTAAGAACTGTATTTGTTTAATATGAGAAAATGAAAACTCTATGGGAAGAAGAGAGGATCGGGGGAAATACCACTGGATTGTGTAGCATTGAACAAATTTATATTGAAGAAGTTAAGATGCAACATTGAGTAACAAATGTACCCGGACATCACATTTGTTTACTTAGCATTTATGATTTATAATTGTAGCGGGGCTGGCCGAAGGACTTTGTGGGAGCCTGGCCGGAGAGAGGGAAGTAGGAAGCTTGGACAGGTGTGGATCAGGCAGAAGGAAAGAAAACTGGAAGGAGAAAGTTGTGTGTGTGTGTGGTTGTTGTTGTTGTCGGGGAGAGACCAGGTGAAGCCGAAGAGGAGTTTGGGGTTTTATGTGATTCTTTTCCTCTGAAATAGAGGGAAGGAGAGAGAGAGAGAGAGAGAGAGAGAGAGAGAGAGAGGGAGAGAGAGCGGAGTTTTATTGCTTTCTTTCATGGGGGGATATCCCGAGCGAAGGGAAGAGTGAGAGTGAGAAGATGGAAAGCTTGGTGGGGTTTTAAATTCAGGTTTTAAGTAGAAAGGAAGGGGGGGTTGGCATAGAGAGACCTGGGACTATGAGTGCCGACAGAAGAGAAGGAGAGGCTGATCACTACTGCTTCGGAGATCAGCGGTCATCCAAACGTTGATCATTATCACCTGTGCAAGCTGTAGACATTGTGGGGAGCTGCCCGCACGGGGCGAGCTGTTGCTACGCAGCGCTGACTATCTTCGCTCGTGCTTTCTGTTGCTGCCTGGAGCAGGAGGGCCTCCCCCCCTGTTTTCCCAGGCGGCTGCTACAAGCCATTGACTACTATTGTCATGACTGCTAGGGGGTTGATACATACTGTCATACACTGACTGCCGTGGCTAGGAGTTGGTCATCTTTGTTCCTGTAAACCCCTTTGACGACAAGAACCTGCCACCTCTTTACTCTGCGTGAGTTCCCGCTAAAAAGGACATTCTATCAACGCCTTGAGAGTGCAGCTGCTGAGTGTAACTGAAGGGGGGGCTATGAGGGCCTGGGCTTTGGCGGCCTCTGAGGGGGTTATGCTACATAATAATAGAAAATGAATAAAACACATTAAAAAAAGAATTAAGCTAATTGTTCAGATAGGAACCAGCAGCCACAGGCATGTGTGCTAACTAGCACTTATGATTAAGTATGTCCTACAGATACTTCCAATAAGAACAAAATTGACTGTAGATATATAATGAATAGTACTAGATCAAAAAAAGAAAAAAAACGAAACAGCATTAATATGTTATTTATTACTAGAGTCTTTTGTGGATTGAAGAATTTTTTACACATATAAATGGAGAAAAGGTTTTTTATAATTCATACATTACATGTTCTGTTTCTGATTATCCATCCCTATTTCTTTTTATCCACTATAACATTATACCTCTGAAATACATTTTTGGATATTACTTACTCTTCTCTGCTGTTCTTTGTGTTCTTATATTTACTCTTTTTTTTCTTCTAATTATTTCTTATTTCATTTTAGTTTCCTATTTTCATATTTCTGTTCCCTTTTCTCCTTTTTGTGAAGGCTGCTTTACCTTACATCACAGGTCTTATGGCCTGAAGGCACTATTAAAAAATGCATAAGATACTCTTATTCCACTACAGTTTTTTCCCATGTAACCTGAAATGTTACATCCTGAACTCAGATCATTGCTCTCCTGCCTGCTTGTCTGTTAGCTTGCCATGAACTTTGGCCATTTCTTTCTCACTTAAGCACCCATCTGTTCCTGACAGCATGGCACAAAATTAACCTTGCTCCATTACCTGGCTGGCTCATCTTCTCTGCCATTCACACTTGTAACTGGAGAAAAAAAGTGAGTCACAGGAGTTTATGGGAACATACAAGAGACAAAGAAAAATAAATCAAATAATTGTTCCAGTAATTTAAAAATGCAAAAAAGTCCCACAAAATAATTTGGGTAATGTTAACACTTGTAGCATTGATACATGCACTGTACTGTAACATTGCAACCAATTTATACTTATTTTTTAAAAATGACTATCTCTTTAGAAATTCAATAAAATTATTTGAAATCTCAGAAGTAGCATGTAGTATTCCGGTATAATAAAAGCAGGTGTCTACAACATTTTAATCCCAGCTCATTTATCTGTGTTCAGAGATCCTAAAATTCCCAAATAGCCTAGCCTATTTTTCTACTAGCATGTGAAAAAAAACCTTTTTAAAAAAGAACCTTCATCAGAATGTTGAAATGCAGTGCACCCCTGTGAAAGGTCTTAGATAGCTAATCTTGTAAGATTCAATATTGCATTTCCCCCATACCTGAGATTCTATTAATTTTCTTCTCTTCCAATGCATTTCAGAATTACCCTGATTAATTGGACATGTTCTGTCCTCATTTGCTTGTTTGTGGTGGTCT